GGAGTCATACCCGAGGAACAACTGACGTGGACTGCTTTGAGATATGTATATGAATAGGGGCAATGGGATTGGCAAAGGTTCTCGTTCTGGTTGCAGCCATCGGACCTCCCCCGTATCTCCGCGATTCTCCCCCCTCAAACGGGGGCTGGACACGATAGGCTGTTTTGGGACTGGCCATCTAACGACCCACTCTGCATACACCTCTTTGACTCCAGTTCTTCGTGATGCGCATCACCGGCTGTGGACGATGATTTGGAAATGGGTCAGACCTCAAAGAATTTACTATTCTTATGGCTAGTCGCGACAGAGAGACTCTTGACGAACGATGAACGACATAGGCGCCACCTGGTGGATAGTCCGTTATGCGAGCTCGGTAGATCTCACCCGGAATCGATACTTCACGTGCTACGGGACTCCGATGTTCTGCGCCAATCTTGGAAGAAGTTGGTGCCTCGCTTGAGTTGGGAAGTGTTTTTTGGCATGGAACTGGATAAGTGGTTGCCAAAAAAAATTGTCTAATCAGCTGAATATCCTAGGTGAGAGCTGGGATTTCACGTTTGGCGTCAACCTGTGGCGTCTTTGGCACCGCCAGAATGACTTCATTTTTAATGGTATCGCCCCCTTGGTTGACGGTACTTACATGGAGCCCAAAACTATGTTGACTTTGTTCAATAAGCGAGCTTGAGCTTTCGGACTCTCGGGCTCAGTAGAACCCAACGCCTAGATCACATGATTTATGAGGAACCCCCGATGGAGGGGTGGATTAAGTGTAATTCAGACGGAGCCTTTAACACATCCACGGGCATGGCGAGTGCGGGTGGCCTCTTGCGTGACCATTATGGAGATTCGTCGGTGGTTTCGTCATGAACATAGGTTTTAGCTCCATTATGGGAGCAGAGATATGGAGGTTTCTGCAAGGATTGATGCTTGCGTGGGTTGGGGTACCGCCGAGTTCTGGATGATGTAGATAGCAAGGCGGCGATAGATATGGTGAATGGGCAGATTGATGCGGAGGGAGCCCAGAGTAGCCTAGTTCGGGCTATTAAGGAGTTGCGGAGCCGAGAATGGATTGTGGAAATTAGGCATGTTTACCGAGAATCAAACTTCTCGGCGGATTATTTGGCTGCACTAGTGGCTACTAGTCCTGGAGGTTTACATCGCATCGAGCTCCCGCCAGCTGGGCTAAAGCCATGGCTGGAGCACGACTTGGTTGGAGTAGCATACCTACACAGGATAGCTTTCGTACCAAAAAAAAAAAACGTCTTTCATTTGGTTTTTTATAATTTTTAAATTTAAGCAAATCATATAATCAAGGGATCGTGCAGAAGTAGGAACGATTAGTTTGGAATATATTCTTTTCCTACTAAAATAACCCAAATCATTAATCGGCCCTAGCTATCAATAAAACGGATTAGCACATAATTGGTGTCATATATATCACCACATTACGTATGAAAATTAAGATATATTATAACCTCTACCACACAAAGGACATGTCACTATACATATCTCTACATGATTTGGTTTAGAATGTGCAAATGTAGACCCGTGATTCAATTATTTTCATATTTATATGAGAGAGACAATCTTTTATAATCTCTCTCCCCGTCACTACAAACTGTCCATTCGAATTTCACATGCATGCACACCCAATATATGACCCATCTAGTGTCCAGATGTCTTTCCTGTATTTACTTGTATGTCTACCTTATTCATAAAATTCCAAAATATAGCCCTCAGTCCTGATACTTCCAAAAATCCCCCTGTAATTTAAGGGTGTGATCATTTGTGTGCTGTTTCTTTAAATCTCACTCCCAAAGTTAATCATTGTGGTTCACACCAAACAAGGTCGAAGTTTTATGTGTCAGCGAGGAACATGATCTTAGAAACATAACACCCACGTACATTCACTAGATTGGCCTATAAGCCAACTGAACAAGTGTAGTGCACAAATATATATATACATAGAATTGAGATCAAATGAGAAAATGAGATAGTGAAAGAAATAATAAAGCATTTAAAATATCGGATATATCAAATCAATGGTCAAGATCAAGTCAAACTTTAATAAATAACGATCAATCATTAATGACAATCTGGTAATTCTTTGAATATATTGTGCTCATTACACATTTACCACATGTGGGTCCCACACTTTCTCTTTCCTCACACTCACACAAATTCACACACTCCACACAAATTCACACACACTCCACCGGTCACTGCCGATAAACCATCACTGCTGCCACCAACACGCCGTCGTCGCCGCCGCAGCCACCGCCACTATCATCTCGTCAAACGCCGCCAACCATCCACAGTCTCGTCCTTCCCCTCTCATCCACACACGCAATCCACCGATCGTCGTACATACCCCGTCACTGCTGTTGTCAGTATTTTTTACCGGAGTAGAATCGAAAAATTCGTTCCCCGGGTCGTATCGCAATGAAGGTTAGCCGGATTCAATTGTATGATTATTCGATCACGAAAAGAGAAAATCATAAACACTCTATTAAATAATTTTTGGGTTTAAATTATCAACTAAGAATTTAGAGCTAATGAAAAGCAATTTAAATAGCAGAATAAATTCACTCAGTGACTAAAGAGCTAGGGAATTGGGGATAATTGTTTTCGGTTCTAACACAATTACCAGACAATCAATTGCTCGGTTAAAAGGAATTGAATCGTTTCTCGTTCAGAGATTCACTCTCAATAACTCTTCGTAACAAGAGAGTGAATATAAACGATAAGCTATCAGTTCCAGCAATACATAGACAATACGTCTCCAAACAAGTCTATTCTAAACGATCCTAAATCGACCAACGTCTCCCCTCTCGGTTCTACACGTTGATTAGCTAGGCTAGAATGATGATCAGTCAACTAACCCTAGAATTTGCACAACTCGAATAGACATGAACAATCAAAAGCAAGATATCATTAAACGAACCTAATCAATCATCCCCTATCGCTAGCGTATGGATTTAGCTACTCATATGGAATTCAACATCGAAATTCATATAAACCCAAGCCATCATCATCAACAAACCAATTGAGAAAAAAGAACTTACGATTAATAATGAGAATCTCAATGTCAAATCCAATAAACAATCCAAATCGAAAGTGAGAAAAATGAGTTTTCCAATCTCAAATCCAATCAAAAGAGGAAAAGCATGAAAAGGAATGAGTTTCTAGAGAGAAAAAGCGTAAAAGCGAAGTCTGGAAGTGAATAATGATCCCTAGGTCCTAATTCTGATGTAAAAACCCGTGCCTCGAAATTCGCGCCGGTCATCTCGCGAGTGGCGACTTAACGTTTTTCCAGGTCGCGAGTCGCGTGTCTACAAATTATATCTTCAACTTCTGGGGAAAATCGCGACCTAACTCGCGAGTCGCGACTCTATCTCGCGAGTCGCAACCTTGACTCGCGAGTCGACTCATCTCGCGAGCTTTGTCTTTTCGTCTCTGTAATTCTCGCGAGTCGCGAAAAATGCTGGGCGCGCTCTTCAGTCTACTTTTTCGGTCCTTCCTTCAGCTTCATGAGCTCGGCAACGGGTATTCTTGGTATCACGGTCTCGACTACCGACACAACCTATCTTCTGAAAACCCAAAAACAAGGAAAAACACGAAGCAAAACACGGCAAAAAGACACACAAATAGAAACTAAGGAGAAAAACACAAAACAAATGAATTGGACCAAATAAACCACGAAAAACCTACAATTAGGGGAAACAAAAAGAAAATAAACATGAAATAAAGGCACAAAAATAGGACAAACAACTCCCCCACACCAAGACCTTTGTCCGTCCCGAACAAAAAGAAAAAAAAAGAAAAAAAAAAGAAAAAAAAAATAAATGAGCAAAGACAAAGGTTCAAGCAAGACCAATCTCAAACAAATCAATCAAACTGAGAAAATTTCCAATGATCACAAGAAAATACCTCAATCACGAACTCAGTCATTCTGAAGAACAAAGACTCTCAAGTACAAGTATATGTATATATGTCACTCAGTTTCTTCGCAAAATATGAGAAAGGTGCACTCAAATTGGTCGTCAGCCAAGTCAATCAGAGATTTGCCTATCGTCTAACTTTTACTCTAAGACAATCAAATTCATAAAACAGTGAATCAAGAGGTCTTAAGGGGTTGTAACGTAGGCTCTTTGGACCAGGTAGGATAAATATAAGCTAGGGGGCTCAAAATATATCAACTAGACTCATTCACCCAACCATATCAATAAACTCATCCAGCTGTCACCAACCGGTTCCTCCCACTGACTCCAAAATAAACGCACTTCCCAAGCATATTATTATTTTTTCGTTTTGTTTTGTTGTTTTTTTTTTTGCGAAAACCATTTGGACATCTTATCTAGGTTTAGCCTTTGAGTTTTCTGTCCGAGTCTCCTAGACCAGTTTCTCGTACTCATGGCTCTTAACCACTACATTAGTGGACTGAGCGCTACGGGTATAATCCATTTGGCTTCCCCATTTTTTCTTTTTTTTTTCGTCAAAGCAAATAAACATATATACAATGCAATCAACTATCACCTCTGATACTATCCCGCAACTCAATATCATCATCACGAGGTTAATCAACAAAATCAATCAAGGCTCAAAGGGGGTGACTAGTGACTGTTATTCACGAAAAGAAAAAGAAAAGATAATACAAGGAATGCCTCAATCATATTCACGTTTCACAAATCTAATCGAGTTATTTCAAAGCAGCCTCAAGGCAAATTCTACTAGACAAGATTCCGACCAATATCACACAAGAAAGAAAACAGGCTCAAACCTCACAAGGTAAATATGTTCCTCAAAACAACCAAGCCAATTAATCAAAATATGTTACTCGATCTCATCATCACAACTTCTCAATTTAACCAACAGTTATCAAACAGTCTTACAATACACCATAATCCAAACTCAGAAAAACACAGAAACCTAAGACTAGACTGGTCCACCACGAAAAAAAAAAGAAATAAAACAACCTAAAAATAAAAACTAGATCTGGTCAACCACATAGCCACATCAAATGCAAAAACTCCCCCACACTGAAAATCAGAAAATGTCCCCATTGTCGACTCGCAGCTAAGGGAAGTTGTACTACACAATCAACCGACACAACAAATAAGAGAAAATACAAAAACAAAATAAAAATAAAAAGAGAAAA